CAAATCAAGCCCAATCTAGTTAATCTTTATATACACTTTATTGGCAAAAGTATTGGGCCACCTGCCTTTACACGCACATGAACGAATGGCATCCCAGTCTTAGTCTGTAGGGTTCAATATTGAGTTGGCCCCGCCCTTTGCAGCTATAACAGCTTCAACTCTTCTGGGAAGGCCGTCCACAAGGTTTAGGAGGGTGTCTATGAGAAGGTTGGACCATTCTTCCAGAAGAACATTTGTGAGGTCAGGCACTGATGTCGGGGGAGGAGGCCTGGCTCTTGCAGTCTCTGCTCTAATTCATCTCAAAGGTGTTCTATCGGGTTGGGTCAGGTGTAACGGACCGCCTGACAGCACCTCTATGTACAGCCTCCCCAGAGTGTGGAGTCTAAGACCGGAGCACTGTGCAGGCCATGGTGGGGATGGACTTGGAGGGCTCCAGTACCAGGTCACAACTACCAGGTATCTCCAACAGCTTAGAGGAGTCTGACAGGGGCTCCCTAGGAGTCTGATCTTAAGGGAACCTAGTGATCCCCAGGGTGGGTGGATGGATGAGCTAAATCAGAGTCATGCAGGCCGGGTCGGTAACTAGCGGATCGGTAAGGTACAAAACGGTAGGCAAAGGATAGTCGGGTCACACGCAGGGTCAATACCAGGAGGTCAGATCTAAACGGGAACATCCAAGAGCAGAGTCAGGCAAGCCAAGGGGTCAGGACGGGAGAAGGCAACAAGGTCAAAACAATCCAGATCAGAAGTACTCACACACAGGTAACAGGATACAAAGACCATTCGGCAACAAGTGTCTGTGCAGGGCTGTTTGATATTGTCCAAAATGTCTTGGTATGCTGATGCCTTAAGAGTTCCCATCACTGTTACTAGGGGGCAAGCCCAACCCCTGAAAACACACCCCCACACCATAATCCCCTTTCCACCAAACTTTACACTTGGCACAATGCAGTCAGGCAAGTACCGTCCTCCTGGCAACCGCCAAACCCAGACATGTCCATTGGATTGCCAGACAGAGTCACTCCAGAGAATTACGTCTCCACTGCTCTAGAGTTCAGTGGTGGCATACTTTACACCACTGCATCCGACGCTTTGCATTGCACTTGGTGATGTAAGGCTTGGATGCAGCTGCTCGGCTATGGAAACCATTCCATGAAGCTCTCTACACACTGTTGTTGGGCTAATCTGAAAGCCACACCAAGTTTGGAGGTCTTTAGCTATTGACTCTGCAGACAATTGGCGACTTCTGCGCACTGTGCGCTTCAGCATGCGCTGATCTCGCTTTGTCATTTTACGTGGCCTACCACTTAGTGGCTGAGTTGCTGTTGTTCCCAGTTGCTTCCACTTTGTTATAGTACCACTAACAGTTGAGCGTGGAATATTTAGTGGCCAGGAAATGACACGGATGGACTTATTGCACAGGTGACAACCTATCACGGGACCACGCTTGGAGTCACTGATCTCCTGAGAGCGACCCGTTCTTTCAGAAATGTTTGTAGAAGCAGTCTCTATGCCTAGGTGCTTGATTGTATACACCTGTAAGCATGGAGGTGATTGGAACACCTAAATCCAATGATTTGGAGGAGCATCCCAACACTTTTGGAAATATAGTGTGTGTGTGTGTGTATATATATATATATATATATATATATATATATATATATATATAAATATATATATACACACACCTGTGCAAAAGTTTTAGGTGGGGGGAGGGGAATTCTGTAAAATGAAGAAAGCTTATAGAAACAGAAAAGTGTTAATAGTTTATTTTTATCAATTAACAAAATGAGTAAAAAAAAAAAAAAAAAGTAAATGAACAGAAGAGTTATCCCAATCAAATCAATATTTGGTGTGACCACCCTTTGCCTACAAAACAGCTTCAATTCTTCTAGGTAGACTTGCACACAGTTTTTGAAGGGGAGCGGAAGGTAGGTTGTTCCAAAAATCTTGGAGAACTAAGCACAGATCTTCTGTGGACATAGGCTGCTTCAAATCCATGTGTCTCTTCTTGTAATCCCAGACAGACCTTATGGTGTTGAGATCAGGACTTTGTGGGGGCATAACCATCACTTCCAGGACTCTGCCTGTATTTCTCAGCATTGAGGACACCCATTGATCCCAACCAAATCTCCAACTCTATTTGCAGCCTCAAGGGTGGATTTAAAGCCTCTCAATCAATTCCACACCTCCCAAAGGTATCAACCCCACCACCCAATTACCCCATCAGACTCTGTTGTCCATCATGCAGGCCTGGAACAGGCAAGGTAAGTAGAGTGGCGAAGGAACCCAAAAGCTGCAAGTATGTTAACACTTCTGGGTTCAGAGCTGTCATTTCCCGGCTGCTGTGTGGGAACAAGCTGATCAATCATGATCTGTGCTTGATTAGCTTCGTTGGGGCCCATTAGATGAAATTACCTGTTATTTCTACATCACAATCACACATTAGGCCACCAGCCTATATTTAAGAGCAATAAAGTTTAAGTGGCACTAAATGATATACTTATTCTCCAAAAATATTCTTTACACTACCCAATGGCTCTGTAATCTATTTTTCATTAAATTATTTCTTACTGTGTTTTTCTGCCTCCTTGTAAGGTCTTCTGTGAGCTTCCGACCTTCCTTTTTCCCCCCTCACTGTATGTTAATTGCAGACATATGCATTCCTCTATGTACACTGGGCAAAACTATACGGCCCGACACCTTTTAGTCCATAGTGATCCCTAGTCCATCTTGGGAGCGAGCAAGAGATGATATCAGCCCGCGAAGGGGTGGTTACCTGGGGGAAGGGGGGGAATTAAGAAAGATTTATACATTACAGAAGAAGTCATGGGGGATGAAGCATAAGGGGGGCACTTCCTGCTGACTGTAAGTGAATTATGTCCCTGGGGGTGCTGATTTTATATGATGAATTTTTTTATATGGGGGATTATTACTATTTTGGGGGTTGCACTTACTAGGCTTAATTTTTTTTTTTATTATTTTTTTTATTGGGAACAAGAGAGGGTGGTTTTTATTTTTGATTTTCCTGAGTATGTCCCTTGTGCTGATTTTAATGGGGGGTTTTTACATTTTGGTTGCACTTATGCTTTATTTATTTTTTTATTATTATATTTTTTTTTTATTTAAAGCAGTACTTAGGCTTTAAAGCATCATGTATAGACAATTTGGGGTATTGAAGTTTGTCACTAGTTCATGAAATCTTGCAATTTTAAGGCTTGACATGTCTGGTATCTATTTACTCAATGCAACCTCATTTTATATACTGTACTAAAACATTGGGTAATATAATGTGTTTGTGTGCACTAAAATTAACTTTAGTGTATTTTTAACTGAAAATATGGGTTTGATAAAGCAATGTGCTAAACCGCTTCCTGATGACGTCACTTCACACAAAACATAAATCCAGGCACAACTTCCAGCCACGTCACTTCTGTTCTCGCACATTCAGTAATTGGAATGCACGCCCACTCCAGGGTGTGAGTGGAGCAGCAGCATTCACTTGGCAGTTTTATTGAGCAGGATTTTAGGTGCCACGGGGGCACTTTTTAATGTAAGCATAATTATATACTGTAAGTTTGTCACAAGTGTTTTAATAAATATACTACACTAGATCAGCCTGTTCTTTGGTTTCCATGGTGGAGAGGAGGTTTCTTATCTCGATACAGATCTTCATATTTGGTGTAAGTGGTGGATTATCCCAAAAACAAACAAGCGCTTAATGACGTTCTTTATAAGTAAAGAGGTCATTGTAGTCCGGTGAATGATTTACTCTTAGAGCACAGTTGGTACATTCTTTATCTGGTGGAGGTGAAATCACAAGAAGATTTTTTGAAGAAGTGAAAACTTTTTGTTGTACATAAAATTTAAAGTGTTACTAAACCCACAAAAGTACAATCATTCTGTATATGCAGTAAAGCATGCTTGATATACTCACTGTGGAACATAAGGGGTTAATCTTCTGCATTGTGTAAAAATGCTGTTTGATCCTGTCTTCTCTGATCCTCCCCTTCTTCTAGTGTCCCCCTCATATCTCCTGATGAGACATATCGTGTGGAGACACGCTGTACATGCTCAGTTTGGTGTATATTTATAAAGAGGGTTGTTATTTTCTTCGGAGAGTGCATGTGATCAGCACGGGGTTAACCAGCACTGTCAAGACAGAGGTCAGAGGTTCTGCATCCTCCTAGAGCAGAAAGAAAACTCCTCCTACAAACTTTAACCAGTGCTCTGCTGGACACTGAAAGAAGTCACAAGACTGCTCTAACTGCTGATGAGAAAAGGTATTTAACAGTTTATATTTGCTGAAATAGTTACATTTTCATGTTCTGTGTACTGTGGGAGAGCAGATATAGTGAATGCAGGGTCCGGGGAGACCGGATATAGTGAATGCAGGGTCCGGGGAGAACAGATATAGTGAATGCAGGGTCCAGGGAGACCAGATATAGTGAATGCAAGGTCCGGGGAGAGTGGATATAATGAATGCAGGGTCCGGGGAGACCGGATATAGGGAATGCAGGGTCTGGGGAGACCGGATATAGTGAATGCAAGGTCCGGGGAGACCAGATATAGTAAATGCAGGGTCCTGGGAGACCGGATATAGTGAATGCAGGGTCCTGGGAGACCGGATATAGTGAATGCAGGGTCCGGGGAGAGCGGATATAGTGAATGCAGGGTCCGGGGAGAGCGGATATAGTGAATACAGGGTTTGGGGAGAGCGGATATAGTGAATGCAGGGTCCGGGGAGACTGGATATAGTGAATGCAGGGTCCTGGGAGAGCGGATATAGTGAATGCAGGGTCTGGGGAGAGTGGATATAGTGAATGCAGGGTCCGGGAAGACCAGATATTGTGGATGCAGGGTCTGGGGAGACCAGATATAGGGAATGCGTCTGGGGAGACCGGATATAGTGAATGCAAGGTCCGGGGAGACCAGATATAGTAAATGCAGGGTCCTGGGAGACCGGATATAGTGAATGCAGGGTCCTGGGAGACCGGATATGAATGCAGGGTCTGGGGAGAGCGGATATAGTGAATGCAGGGTCCGGGGAGAGCGGATATAGTGAATACAGGGTTTGGGGAGAGCGGATATAGTGAATGCAGGGTCCGGGGAGACTGGATATAGTGAATGCAGGGTCCTGGGAGAGCGGATATAGTGAATGCAGGGTCCGGGGAGACCAAATAAAGTGAATGCAGGGTCCATGGAGAGCGTATATAGTGAATGCAGGGCCAGGGAGACCGGATATAGTGAATGCAGGGTCCGGGGAGACTGGATATAGTGAATGCAGGGTCTGGGGAGAGTGGATATAGTGAATGCAGGGTCCGGGAAGACCAGATATTGTGGATGCAGGGTCTGGGGAGACCAGATATAGTGAATGCAGGGTCCGGGGAGACCGGATATAGTGACTGCAGGGTCTGGGGAGAGCAGATATAGTGGATGCAGGGTCCGGGGAGACCAGATATAGTGAATGCAGGGTCCGGGGAGACCAGATATAGTGAATGCTGGGTCCGGGGAGACCAGATATAGTGAATGCAGGGTCCGGGGAGACCGGATATAGTGGATGCAGGGTCCGGGGAGACCGGATATAGTGGATGCAGGGTCCGGGGAGACCGGATATAGTGGATGCAGGGTCCGGGGAGAGCGGATATAGTGGATGCAGGGTCCGGAGAGACCGGATATAGTGGATGCAGGGTCCGGGGAGACCGAATATAGTGAATGCAGGGTCCGGGGAGAGCGAATATAGTGAATGCAGGGTCCGGGGAGAGCGGATATAGTGAATGCAGGGTCCGGGGAGAGCGGATATAGTGAATGCAGGGTCCGGGGAGAGCGGATATAGTGAATGCAGGGTCCTGGGTTTAGTAACACTTTAAGCATAAGCTTGAGATTTATGTGTAAATGCACAATTTAATAATTTCATTGATACACAGGGTATATAGCTTGATTTGTTAGCATTTTTGGTTTTAGCGCCCACTTAGGGATTTGATCAGTAGCACTTTGAGGACCAGTTCAACCTAGATGCAGTTCAGTGCGCTTTTTTTTTCTGCATCAAAAATGCATGCACAGTGTTTTCCATATAATCCAATGGCCCTGGTTCACACTAGTACAATAAGTTCCAGTCAGTTTCCGGTGCAGAAAAAAAAGCAGAACATGCTGCATTTTTTCTGCACAGAACCATACTGGAACATAGCAAACTGCATCAAAACTGGACTGGAATTGCGTGTGGTGTGAACCATAAGCAAAAATGTTTCCAGGAATGCATTCGGAGCAGGGATAGACTGACAACTCATGGGGCAATAGGGGATCATGGGGCCCCTGTGTCCTTGCCCAAACTCAAAAAAGCCTATGAAAAAGGTACCAGGGGCATCTCATGGGGCCCCCTACTGACCCCGGGCCCTCGGGCAGTGCCCAAGTTTCCAAATGGTCAGTCCGCCCCTGATTTGGAGTGCATTTTTGCAGTGTGAACTGGCCCTAAATTTGAGTTGAATGTACACATACAACTTGGTGTTAATCAGAACATTATTTAATTCACATTATTTAATTTTTTTTTTACATTGAGACACTAGTGACTATAAATGTGCTAATATTGCATTACATACATTTGCAACTGCCACTTTTTTTTATTCTGCAAGGTCTATACGTTCAGAAAATATGTGACGTTTGGAAGTTTAAACAAATCTTTAGGCCTAAAATGTGCATTTCAACATGCGTGTACAAAAAAGGTTTCTGGAGAAAACACCTCGTATTCTTTTGGACAATTTTGCAATGAAAAAGGAAGGCAGCTGCACCTTCTTGCAGTCTGTGGATTAAGAGAAAGGAAAGACTGGCACGCCTAGTCCTGCATGTGATCAGGGTCGGTGTTACAACAATAACGCAAAGCCTGTTAGCCAATGGGTGGCAGAATACACTGGAGGGTCACCTGTTGCTGGGCAGGAGGTTGACTCAACTTGCATCTTTTGGAGTGTTTCTGCACAAACAGCACACTGAAGCCAATACGGGGAAATTCCTGTTGCTCTGGCACTTCGAATATCAACCAACACAATATTATATTCCCAGCCAAGCTGACAAGAGGGACTTTTCCTACTGATGTTATGACTTTTCAGCCTTTTCAGTTGGTTAAAGAATAATTTGCAACATCCAGTACCCTATGACAAGGTATTAGGATTATTCAAAGCCATGGGTAGCCTTCCTCTTCCTTTTAAAGCGTAGTAAACACCACTTGGTCAGTTACATCTACAGGTAAGCTTACAATAAAGCTTACCTGTAGGTACAGTGGGGGAAAATAATGATTTGATCCCTGCGGATTTTGTAGATTTGCCACTTACAAAGAAATGAAGGGTCTATAATTGTTATCATAGGTGTATTTTAAATGATAGAGACAGAATATAACCAAAAATCCAGAAAAAAACACAATACAAATGTTATAAATTGAATTTCAGTTCAGTGAATAAAATAATTATTTGATCCCCTACCAACCAACAATAATTCTGGCTCCCACAGACTGGCTATGTGCTCATATTATTTATGAGCATTTGGTTATTTTTATTTATGGGGGATCATTTAAATGCGTTTTAGTTGAGGGTTATTAGTTGGTTTACTATTTTTATTATATTAAATGAGGGTATTATGAATATAAATGAAATTGAGGGTATTAGTAAGTACATCATGTCACTAATAGATGATTTATGAGCACTTGGTAAAAAATTTTTTAGAGGAGTATTTCATGTGAAATTATTTTGCTATTTATTTGGAGGAGATTGATTAGTTGAAACTATCTATTTAAATATTTTTTGGTATTTATACACTTTTATTAGTTATTTGTATCATAATTTGAATTAATTTAATGGTAATAATTTAATTATTATTTATTGAGAAGTATTTAGGAGCACATATTTAGGAACACATATTTGTAGATATTTCCAACACAGTTGTAGTTATGTGTTTCATGTTTGCGATCCTCTAGTAATTATCACACCTGTGGCTCGCAAGTCACTCTGATTCATCTATACCTAATTCTAATACCTTGTCATAAGGTATTGGATATTGCAAATTATTCTTTAACCTCTTCGCACCGGCCGCACGCAAATGTCACATGACCTTAAAACCTCGCTCCGCCTCCCGGATTCTGAAACCCTTGAAGGGCCGGGAGGCGCTGGCACCAAGGGGTTAACTAAATGAATAAGCTGAAAAGTCATAACATCAGTAGGAAAAGTCTTGCAATTTGCTGCGACTCATTCATAGCCAGCAGCAAAGGTTCAGAGTCCCTCTTGTCAGCTTGGCTGGGAATATAATATTGTGTTGGTTGATATTCGAAGTGCCAGAAGAACAGGAATTTCCCTGTATTGGCTTCAGGTTGCTGTTTGTGCAGAAACACTCCAAAAGATGCAAGTTGAGTCAACCTCCTGCCCAGCAACAGGTGACCCTCCAGTGTATTCTGCCACCCATTGGCTAACAGGCTTCGCATTATTGTTGTAACACCGACCGTGATCACATGCAGGACTAGGCGTGTCGGTATATTTTTAGCTTGGGACTAACCGCCTTCCTTTCTCTTAATCCACGGACTGCAAGAAGGTGCAACTGCCTTCCTTTTTCATTGCAAAAACTGTTCAAAAGAATACGAGGTGTTTTCTCCAGAAACCAAAACTCTTGATTCACTGAATGCTGTGTAACTTTACACTTATCTCTAAACATTTTATAAATATTAACCTCCTTGGCGGTATGATTCTTTCCGATTTTTTGTGCTGAAAGCGGTACCATTTTTTTGCATGGAAATATGTAGTTTTTTATTGTAGGCTGTAATTTTTAGGAATAACTCACTGAAATCTGTCCGAACAAGAGTCTATTAAACATTCCGGATATGATAAAATTTGAAACACGAAATCGTAAATTACAATTTAATAATAAATAATCATAAAAAATAATAATATAATAATAATAAATTTAATTCAATAATATAATCAAACCAAAAACACTGAAATTTGAAATACAGAGGCAAATTCGCACATCGCTGAGCAAAGTCGCAAAATCGTTTTCAGTGTCTGATGACGAATTTCCCCCACGAATCATTATCACTCAATTCTGCAAGTGGTTCTGATTTACTATCGCTGTTCTAAAACCGCTTTTGACGTAAAGGGACGCTTTTTGGACGCCATGGACTTTTCTCAGTTTCCAGGCAGAAAGAACATTCAAAATGCAGGCAGGGCACAGGACAAAGCACTCGGGACAAAATATATGTGAAATGCATTGAAATAGCAATGACAGCAAAAATGACATTTTTTAAAAAATTCAAATTTCCCGCCGGTTCCGGCGCCCGTACGTCCCGACGTCACAAGGACCGGAACACAGAAGCCAGATGCCGGCATCGGCCGGAGGAGATGGCCGGGGACGCTGCAGGGGACACATCGCGGGAGCGAAGGACAAGGTAAGTGCTGCAGGGACCCCCAGAGCAGCGCCGCATGGTAAGCCCGAGTGTAGCTTGGGGTTACCGCTTTTGGTATAGAAATTTTACCCCGAGCTACACTCGGGATTACTGCTAAGGAGGTTAACTACTACCAGAGCCATTTTTTGATCCTTTTTTTTTTTTTTTTTTGCACACGCATGTTAAAATGCACATTTTTGGCCTAAAGATTTGTTTAAACGTCCAAATGTCACATATTTTCTGAGAGTAGAGACCTTGCAGAAAAAAAAAAAGTAGCAGTTGCAAATGTATATTATGCAATATTAGCACATTTATAGTCACTAGTGCCTCAATTTTCAAAAAATGAAAATAATGTGAACAGAGGCGTCCCTAGGGTTGGTGTCACCCGGTGCGGTAACACTTGATGACACCCCCTCCGACGACCCCCGCAGAATGGATCGGATCTGCGGATTGAGCATAATGGATTGGACTCTGATCCATTATGTTCAATCCGCAGATCCGATCCATCCTGCGGGGATCATCGACTTTCTTTACGACTTACCTTTTCTTGGAGCGGGTCTGGTGTAGCGGCAAGATGTGTCTTCCATGAACATATATGTCCTCCCTGAAGCAACTGCGCATGTTCCGGTTGAAACCGGGACATGTGTAGTTGATTCAGGGGAACATATCTACATGGAAGACTCATCTTTCCGCTACACCGGTGTCACCCCGTATAGGTTGCATGCTGATGATCCCCGCAGGATTTTCGGCATGCAAACTATATGGGGTGACAACGGACCAGCTCCAAGAAAAGGTAAGTTGTAAAGAAAGCCGACGATCCCTGCAGGATGGATCGGATCCATCCTGCGGGGATCGTCACCTTGCTTTACAACTTACCTTTTCATGGAGCGGGTCCAGTGTCACCCCGTGCGGTCGGTGTCACCCAGTGCGGACCGTACCTGCCTCGGGACGCCACTGAATGTGAATGAAATAATGTTCTGATGAACACCAAGTTGTATGTGTACATACAACTCAAATTAAAGAAATGTGAAATAAAAGCTGACTCTCTGTGTACGTGATAAATACATTCAGGGCCAGTTTACACCACAAAAATGCACTACGAATGCTTTCTGGATACGTTTTTGGTTACAGTTCACACTACGCCAGGGGCGGACTGACCATATGGAAACTCAGGCACTGCCTGAGGGCCCGGGGTCAGTAGGGGGCCCCATGAGATGCCCCTGGTACCTTTTTCATAGGCTTTTTTGAGTTTGGGCAAGGACACAGGGGCCCCATGATCCCCTATTGCCCGGGGGCCCCGTGAGTTGTCAGTCCGCCCCTGCACTACGCAAAGTTCTGATGCAGTTTGCTATGTTCCAGTATGATTTTGTGCAGAAAAAAATGCAGTATGTTCTACTTTGTTTTTC